CTAATGCAAGAAATTGTATCTGGCCAATAAAGTGATCTTATCTAATGTGGAGAAACACAATATAAATCTTCTACTGAAAAAATCTAACTAATCATTAACTGACAGCGTTTAAAGCTTTGTGACTCAGCACAGTGGTGTTTTTACTCTGAAACCCTCATAACACTTCAGACTGGTTACAGTGGGTTCTTGCTGTACAGAAATGAAAATGAAAAGCGCAGAAATGAAATGCAGAAACTGAAAATGTGTGTCCACGCATCAGACGCAGGCGATATGATCAAACCAACTCATCAAAACAGAGGCGACTTCAGGGGTAATATTCATTAACCTTCCAGAGACGGCGGTGACTTCAGCAGTATCAGAAAGAGCCACGAGGTGGCAGAAGAAGCCCCCTTTTTTTGAGACCTGCTCCAAGAAAGCCTGCAGTCTCATGCAAACATCAAGAACAGCAGGGCCAGCAGGGCCAGCGCTGGGAGCGGGAGGCTTGGTTTTAGCTGTGTATAAACACGAGCAGGCGGAAACCATGAGGGTACACTTCTTGCAGACTCTTCTGACCCTGTCATTCCAGCACTCATGCTTAAGGGCAAACAGAGGACTCGCACCAGAAGGCACAATCCATGGAACATTAAATAGGAACGCTTCATTACACAATTTGTCTGATAACAGCTGACGCAGGTGGCTCTGCTTATAGCTCCAAAACCAGCCAGGGTCACTTTTACCCGGGGTGTGGAACACTTCCTTAAAACTACTTTGCCATGGTTTTGAACCATTCATTATTCGGAGGGACAGGCTCAGACATAATGGGATTCATGCCAAGAACGGAGAGTATACAGTTCAAGGCACATAAAATCAAACTTTAACTTAAACATATCAGGATGTGACGCAGTCTAAAACACATTTGAACATTTGTATTGCGAAGGGTAAATCAGATTTTCTGTTTTCAGATGCAGGGTGATTAAATGCCACTCGTCTTTTCCCGCCCCACAAGGGCAATGTTTTGGATTCCACAACTATTCCTAATAAATGGCAATGAAATGTTTCTGGGACAGAAATGCTGGAACGTGTTGACCAACACAGGCTACCACACTGCTGTTACCTTCGCAGACAGGAGACAACCGGGTCCTGCTGGTGCTGGCACTGGGGTCGCAAACGATGATGGGAGAGGCTCTCGGATTCAAAGTCAGCAACTTTCAATAAAAAAAAAAAAAGTATTCCACCTTCAACAGGTTTGATAGCAGTTCCATGTTTTTATTCTCTTTCTAGATCAGATGCTCACGTTAAATCTGACAGAGATGATTTCTTCAAAGATCTGCTACTGTCCTGCTTGTGCCATTCACTAGGTAAAATCTCAGGAACAATAACGGCTTGAATTCCACAAGATCTTGAAATATATTTGCAACCCAGTTGGCTTATGTTGTGTTGGTGGGCTTTGGTGTGCAGGACTGACCTAGTCCTGGGTCTTGGGATCTGTGCTGCCCAGAGAAGTCAATGGAAGCCTGCTTCATGCTCCTCAAATGAACTGGGCACTGCTGCCACTTCGAGACGCTACACTAGGGTTCTCAGATTCAGCTCCCAGATGAGAGTCTCCTGGTTTTTGTTCCACCCAACCTTTAATATGTCTTACTATTAACAGTGATTATTTAATTAACTGCATGACTGTAATGCTTCTAATCAGATAGTGTTTTTTAATAACTGTGCTTATATCATAAATATTTTGAGTAATCAATCAGCTGTAAAAGACGTTAAGAATAATCTTATACATGTCCAACTAAGTTATTTTGATTAATTGATTCCAGGTCCATGCATTTTTCTGGGGCGGGGTTCCTAATATTTCTGCCAGTGAATAATTGTTCTTGTTTAAAGAATTCCCTGGCGCGCACAAGGAGAAAGAAAATGCGAGTATGCTGTATTTAAGTATACATATACAAACACAAGTTTATAGCATTCTCTTTAAAAAAACAATCAGTCAACATTATTCAAAGCCGACACATGACAAGAGCTTTGCAGAAGGAACAGTTCGCAGCCTGTCTGAGGGCTGCAGCCTCAGAAACTCACATTGTTGCTCAGGCTGTCCGGTGTGGGGGTGCTGGGGGATGCCGGGACTTGGGGCTGCACTTGGGGTGCAGGGCTCCCCGTCCACTCCGAGAGGGGTGGTGTGAGTGCCTGGGCCCCGTGGACCTGGGCGCTGGGTAGCGAGCTGGGGCTCGCCGGGGAGAACGAATGGGGTGCAGTGGGTACCCCTTGGATGGGCGGCTGAATCGCACTTTGTGGGGTGCTGGGGGGCGGATCCCGCAGGACAGCACCACCGTGGCTCGTGCGCGCTGGGGCGAAGCCGGCCTCTTGGACATCGGACAGGCCCAGCCGCAGAGGGGGCATCTGAGAGTGGGGGTCGGGCTGCACACTCTGGCCTGTGAGCGTGCCAGCGTGGTAGGCAGGCTCGCCGGCCAGCGCCGGCTGCTGGGTCGTGTAAGGAGTGTGGTACCCCTGCTGCAGGCCCATGTGCGCGGACATGTGCTGATAGGTGCTGGGCGAGGGCACGCCCAGGGTCAGGGGGCTGGGGCTGGGCATGAAGGAGTGCGCCACGCTCATCGCCAGTGACAGCACATTGGCCAGGGACAGCAGGGACTGGGTCTGGGGGGGCCACAAGCTGGGAGGCTGCTGCTGCTGCGGGGGAGACATGGGGCTCCCGTCACCCGCGGGGCTCATGTGCTCCCCCTGAAGGGGCAGGCTGGGGGAGCCCGGAGTAGACGGAAAACTCTGGGGGCTGCTGCTGGGCAGCGGGGATAAGGCCTGATGCCCCAGCGCGTGTTTCGGGGAGCCAGGGTTTACGGGATAGAAAGGGAAGGTGCTGCCCGGGATGTAGGGCGGAGAGGGATAGTGCTGGAAGGGGGACACTGGTGTCGTAGGCACTGTGTGAGGAGCCGTTCCCGAGCCGTAAGGCAGAGCCGTCTGATGGAACACGTGACGGGACCCTGCAACAGGAGCAGTCACAATTAGCGGACAGCGAATTGACACAATTACTGATCATTCATGATCTACTGTACCTTCCGGAGGCCTGCAAAACCTTCCTGCAAAAACCCGGGCGGGTCTACTCCAGCCTTAGGCCTAAGCAAACCATGCTCAATTGAAATAAGGAAGGTAAAGGAACAATATTCCATTTTACAGCTTTAGAAACCGCATCAGTAAAAACATCAAGCATAACCATCAATTCTGTGTTCCCTGCTCATCGTTCAAAACAAGCACTCGTGGCTTGACTCACAGGCATAAGAAAGTAAGAACTTTCTTCTTACCATAAGTCAGCTTGTTCCACACACCCACAGCTTCAGCAAGTACCCAGACAATAAGGCAATTTGATGGCAACAGACACAGTCATTTTCTGCTCACGTGGCTCGATGTGCGGACTAACAGGAAGGAGCCCAGTAAAAAGCAGAAGAGCTGCTCTTGTCATGTCTTGCTTGTTCACTTAAGAAACTAATAGAGTCTCTTAATAAGAACAAACAAGCGAGTGTTGCGCATCACCAGCAAAGGAAGTGGAAAACAACTGCCAGGAAAAACAGGGATATTAATACGCCTTGGCGACACGCTGGCGCAGTGGTTAGCATTGCGGCCTTGCAGGTGCCCTGGGTTCGGCGGAGTTTGCATGTTCTCCTCGTGTTCACACTTCCTCCGGGAGCTCCGGGTTCCTCCCACAGCCCAAAGACGTGCTGCTAAGGCTAACTGGCCTGTGGGGTGTGCGTGTGTGCATGTCTGTGTTTGTATCTGTCTGCCCTGCCATGGACTGATGTCCCATCCAGGGAGTACCTTGCCTTGTGCCCCTTGCTGGCTGGATTAGGGTCCAACTTCCCAGCGACCCGGAACTGGACGAAACAGTTCGAAAATGGATGTATGGACGGATTAATACCCTACCTCTTCAAAGTCAGACACTGTATACATAAAAAGGGTTCTTTGTTGAACTTTCATTCATTATATTCCTATTTGTCGGTTGTCTTTGAGGTGTTGTATTTTTAGGTTAAATTACTTTCTTTTGCATTCAGAGGCTGTGGATCCTGCAGCTCCTATTTAAGGCCTCCAGACGCTCCTTTCTCTCAGGAACACCTAGACAGCTGGGGCCTCTCTCTGCATGTGCTTTCACAGCCAGCCAGCTCCATGTCCAATAAGGCACTGTAAAAGGAACCCCCATTCCAAGCTCAGTGAGGCTGGTTACCTTCCAGGAAGCTACCTTATGCCCCCATGAACATTACAGTTGCTCACAAGAATCCCCTGGCTTCACAGGCCCTGCGGTGTTCACTGATGTTGTCATCAACTCCTAAGAAGTGAGCGCAAGCCAAGGACTGGAAAATCATGTACTGTTTGGACACCGGTTTTTACTGCCGCAAAGGAAGCCAATATTGTGACATTTTAAAGTTATAATTAATAACGCATGTTTATTTATAACTGGTTATATAATTTTTGATGTACGTGGTTAATACTCTTTTTGCTCAAGGGACATTAAATCACCGGAGAGAGAGTACTTGTCTGTAGCACATGCGGTTTTTCAGCACCACAGCAGCCAAAAGGGGGTATTTTTTGTACAGCTTTATTTACCCCTACGTGTGCGCACAACCCAGGGATGAGCAAATACGTCTTGGGTGCCGTTCAAATAAAAAGATGCTGGGAGCATCACTTGCTTGTAGCCAACAGGTATGATTTCTAAACAACAGTGAAGCATTCAGATCTCCTCATACAACACATATAGGATACATATTTCTTCAGGCTAAGCCACTGAAGACACTCCACCCACTGCGACCTGAGAGCCATCCATAAAAAGCAAAATTTAGACACTTTGGTCAGATGTTTGCTTTACTGCGATTTTACAGTTTGGACTTCTTTAACAAAACGAAGAGAACGAGCTTTCTTGGAGAGTTTTGGGAATATGCGTTACAATGCTCGGCAGGCCCTGTCCTTGAGCAAAGGGCTCTCTAGCAAGCAGCCAGTGGTGAGGTAATTGCTCATGTGAGGCTCCTGGAACACAAACACAGAGCCAGGCTTTGAGGTGCTGTGAGGGGCTCTGAGGTGCTGCAAAGGTGCAGGCGTTCCGCTAAGCGCTAAGACAATATTCCCGAGAGCTTGGAGCGGCCCGCACCGCACAACGAGTTTTTAATACCCTGCCAAGACTTTCCAGACTGCTTCCTTTGTATGGGCCAGTCCCGTGGGAGCTGTTTCGGGGGGCTCTGGTGAAGTGGGGGCAGCAAAGGCTCGGCAGAAGACAATCCCGGGTCTCTTCAGTGCAGGCGCTGCCGTACCTGGGTTCTGGTGGAAGGACTGGGAGCGCGGGGGGAGTCCAGGTGAGGTAACGTCTGAACCGATGAAGAAGGCCCCCTCTGGCACCGGGCTGCCCGCGGAACCGCGGTCTGGAGACGGTATCACCGGGCTGGGGCTGGCACACCCAAACTCTGCCGACAGACACACGCTCTCAGTCGCCCCCGGGACAATAAGAACGGCAGCAGCAGCAACAGGACTGACGCGAGCAGGCATGTCAGCGCTCGGGTCTGTCCAGAGCTTTTCGCCAAAGTCTAAAGAAAAATGAAGCGCTAAGGAACAGCGTGAGGCAACCTCTCACACATGGAAGGCGTTCAGCTGCAGAAATGGAGAGCACAGCGTACACTTAATCCCGTTTCAGCGTGCAAACAAAAGAGCCTTTTTCTTTTAGCTTGCAGCACTGGAGAAAGCACGTTACTTGACTCAAAATTCCCTGCTTCCAAAAGTTTCCCTTTAAAGGGACCTACCAGGCAGTGAGGATGAGGAGTGGGTTCGAGCCAGTCCGTATGAGTGCAGGTTGGGCTGGAAGATGGCAAAGGAGAGTGATTACAGGCAATGGGTGAATGTCACAAAACATTATCCGCTTAAGTTCGCTGGCAGGCTACACCCTTGTAAAAGCACAGCAGTATGTAGTAAAAGACAGTACATTTGCGGTACGATTACAGTAAAGCACCCCTTTGTTGTTGCAAGTATGTGATCTGAGTTTCCTGAAGCCACACTGATGAGGGAATCTTTCCAAAGCCTGCGCTGAAATGATGGCTCTGCAGAGTTAGCAGGATCAGGCCCTCACTTAGCACCCTGCTCAGAGGAGAGGAGTACATCCTGGAGGCTTCTTTGGTGAAAGACGCCTGGATTCAATCAGCAGATCACAGAGTCGTGCTGATCGCGTGCCAAGAAAGGCTTCAATTTCAGCCAAGGTAATTACACACTGCTCAGCAAACGGCAGGTCTCAGGAGCCCCATGAAATCACAAAATGTTCTTACTTTTTTTAGGTCCTGACAGTGGACTTTTGTTTTGTTTTCTAAATTACAGTATATGGGATTGTGCTCTTGGATGTTTAATAGGAAAATTAGCAAGCAATGTACCTAGAACTTCAGCTTTATGGTGTACTACAGTAGGAACTGGGACGTTCTGATCTCTCCGTTGATCTCGACAGTGCCCTTTGCAGTAATAATAGTGCCTTGTGTCCAATTAAAGAGCCCTAAATGCCCATCAGGGTATCCCCATAGTGTGTTTAACCAGAATCAAACTACAGACCCCTGTCCGATCAGACTGGGTCCTCCGCCAGCGTCCCCCGACTGACCTGCGATGCGGACAGACTCCCGGCCCCGCTGAGGTACGGCAGCCGCAGCCCCGCCTGCGCGTCCGCGCGGCCCTGAGCCTCCTTCCGCATCAGGGCCTCGGCCCGCTTGATGATGTCACGCATGCGGTGGATGAAGCCCTCCTGCTCCGAGGGCAGTATGAACTCGTTGTGCACCTGACAGACACAAAAGGGCCCGGGGCGGGTTGTTTCGGGGGGGAGGGGGCGGGCTTGCGGGGTTGTTTTTTTGGGCTTGTTGTTTTTTTCCGTTGTTTTGCGGGGCTTTGCTTGGCCTTCCCTTCTTTTGGGGTTGTTGTTTTTTGCTTTTTTTTGCACTTTAACCTTTTCTTTTTGTTTTTGCCCTTTTGAACCGGTTTTTTTTCTGTGCACAGGCCTTACCAGTTTCATATCCTACAGTCACCAGAGCCTGGACAACTACTCAGAAGGTTTATTATAAGACTGAAATAGCTGCTGATAAAGAGATTGTAATTAAGTGATTTAGATTGTACTCACAAGGCCATATTAATACTACAAGCTTTGAAGAAGTAACAAGTACTGTATGTAACATAACAACAAGCATAAAACATATACAAACACAGAATGAAACGGCACTACTTGAGCTACATATAGAATCTGGGGCAGATGTTCGAGCGGATGGATATTTAAACCATGGACAAGAGGAAGTATTGTTAGGAAAACAGAATTCTCCTTCAGAGTGCTCATTTTAATATGTAGGTCTCTGTTTTTCTGCATGTAAGGCAGACAGCTACCTGACAGCTAATGGACTCTGTCACCACCTTTTAATTTGGTTCAGATGCAGCACTAATAAAATTCTCTCTTTATGAGCTCTGTGGAGTCCTGTGTTGCCAAGATTCCCTGATAAACATCAATCCACTGTGGACAAAGGCAACAACCAACTGGGATACAGAATTCAGGGACACACAGCAGAACATACAGAAGCAGTAAAGCTACATAGGACAGTAAACCTTCGATTTACTTTTGATTTGAAAATTTTGATTGTCTTTTCAATTTACAGTATGTCACGTTATTTTGTTCTGACAAGATCTGCAGTCCTTACAGTCTGGTTGTCTAGTGGTGACGTGCAACAGAAACAGACCTTGATTAATTGAAATGCTTAATCTGTATAATACTTAAAGCTGTTTGCACCCAGAGAAACACATTTTCCTTGTGCCCTGCCAACATGTACTGTGGATTACTTCAGTGCAATTTGTCATTCAACACCTTCCAGCACCTTCTCATAACCACTCACCTGTTGCAACTGCACCTGTAGATATCTGCCCCACCCCTGCTGCCTGCCCTGCTGTTCTGCACTGATTTCATCACCTCGCACAATACATGAAAATGGCTCAATATTTCAACCACATTGCAACCTGCTAGGTGTAACGGATTGCACTACAGCCACTCAAACACCACAACAGCTACTAATGGTGACAATAATACAGCAGCGCTAACAGCTGGGATTGGTTTTCGTTGAGGGGTCTGGTTTGCCTTCATCTTCGAAAAGCATGTAAATTAGGGTAGCCTAATTGATCTGGTTTGGTTTCCTGGTCTCCTGCTGGACTCCCTACCTCATTATTCACCCAGAATCAGAGTGTCTTAGCGCCTCTCCTACCAGCCACCAGTTCTGGGTATGGGAATACAGGGTGCCCGTGGTGCAGGTTTAGGGTTCATGCTTTTAACGCCCCTTTCTCGTTCCTGAACAGTCTTGTTTGGGCTGGGGTGTCCGGGGGCGCTCACCATGACGGCCGCCATGTCCTCTGGGCTGTCTCCGTCCAGGTCGAACTTGAAAGTCACCATCTTGTTGTTGTGCGTCTGCAGCTGGCACTCCACCACCCTGTCCACTTTGTCCGAGAGCTGTGTGGAAGAGGGGAGACGGAATTTGCTCGAAGGGAATTGGAATTTGCCAGCAGGGAATTGGAGTTGAGGTGAGCAGTGTTTCACACCTGCTTTGTAACTATACAGTACGGATGCCAAGAGGGTAAAATTGAGCTATAGGCCACCTATGAACAAAAACTTGGCATTGCCCTCTCTGACAACTAGTATCATGAGAATTTATGTTTAACAGCCTGTGAGACAAGCTGCCCGCTCATTAAAAGATGCCGTCTTGGGGAATGCTCTGCTGAGGTCCAATTGTTACTATTTTCCATTCAGGACTTTGGCTTCCAAGATGAATGGAAAGACAGGAGAGAAGCTGAAGAGTCTGACTTGTAATGGGAAAGAGAAAGAACCCCGTTCAATTCATTTCCTTGTACTTCTGGTGACAATGAGGTCTGCTGTGGGAATGTGTATTCTCTTCTGTTCACTGGGGTGGAGGGCGTGATTATCGGAGCCCTGGAGGCTGTAAGTGAGCTGAGGAACGCAGGGTTCAGGGCAGGACCATGCTCTGCTTCCCTGCACTGCTTTCCACTTAAAGTACAGGCACTTCAAGACACGCACATGTATTCCATTACAATATACTAAAATGCACAACCTAATCGCAATCTCCTCATTGACAATAAGATAAAGATCACCATTAATATCAAAAGCTAGCAGATGGTAATTCATATACAGTAGCACATATGTAATATTAAAAATGTACCTACAGTATAGCATGGATTAAAAGTGCCTACTGGACTGCAGTGCAAATCTAACCTTGAGTAGGAGGGGGGAGTTCAAGAGTTATTTACTCCTGATCATAAATTGCTTTGCCTCTTATGAAAATAAACGCTGCAAGATACAAATTCAAAAAGGTCTTAGCATTGCATGGATAACTGGTTGTATTTTTTGGGGGGAATTGCAAAACATTTTGTAGCAAAAACGCTATTCTGTGTCTTCAAAGCATGTATTCTGCAAAACATGTCCACATTGTCCTACTCGGATGACAGCAGGTCAGCCAGGACGGCCCTGGCAGTGCTGCTGCTGTGCTCTTACGCTGGTGATGCGCAGTCGAGACCGGGTCCTCCTCCTGGAGAGCTTGGCAGCGGTGCGCTTGGCCTGAGGCTTGGCGTTCCTCTCCGACCCCGGCAGGCCCTCGCACCCGTCGCTCAGGCCGGACGTCACATCAGAAGCGTAGCTACAGGATGTGATGTCATATGAGAATCGGTCAGCTGCCCGTTGGCCTGTCTGAGGAGCTCCGCAGCAGGATCGATGAGAAACCACACTTCACCGTGTTTCTCCTAACAGGCTGGCTGAAACGCACTGGCTCAGAGCACAAGTTAATCCCTATGTGTTCTAGACATCCTGGCCATGATGGTGGGTGAGCTCCAGTCAGCCAGGGTCCTTTTAGGGAGCCCTCTCACAAGACCAATAACAGATCAAGCTCCTCTTTCATTTGCCAATTCGCAGCTCTGGTCGGAAAGTCAAGATATGTGGCCTCACCACAGTGGAAAGAGGAGCAGTGCGAAAACAGACAGACTTCCTGTAGGAAAGCACCTTCCCATCAGCCCCCTGCAGGTCCAAGGTCCACACAGCGTACCAATGGGAGCTAATAAGAATCACTGCTTCTACAGAAACTATTACAACTAATACATATTTGGAAAACCTGATGGTCATATACTGTAGCTATATATTTTTGAATGGTAAATGTTTTCACGCTCTCATTAATTGAAAACCTATCACTAATCATTTTGAGGTGCAAAAAGTTCTTAGTGGATTTACCTCTAAATGTAAAGTATTCCATGATTTCAAAGTCTAATATTTATTTTAGTTGTGTGCAGAGTACTTCTAGAACTGAGCCTTGAGTGCGTTTCAGCACTGAAAGCCCCTGGTCTGATCCATGTGAAAATGCATCCCCCAGGAGCAACCCATTAACAGGCTCTTCGCTCAAAGGAAACGCTCATTATTAAAGCTTTCAGCGACCACGCATCCCTCCATCCGGTGTAATTAAACACAACATTAGAAAGGTTTCTGGGCCCATACTAACTGAGACAAGCATCTTCCAGTGACTAAGAAAGACGGCGCTACTCTGAAGCCATTACATGTCAGAGGCCTGGGGGAGCATTAAGTGTGTGATTTAGCACAACGCAGCACATAGCAGGCTGCAGCACCTTCCTCTAAACAAGTGACATCAAAGACACTTCAGCAGGAACAACACAATGTTGTTGTCCAGCTGTGAAATGCAATAAGACAAAATGGACTGATAGTACTCATTAGCTTAAAAGGTTCATTGTGGGCTTCTATTTCTCTCTGGCACATTTTTAAGGCATATGATCCTGCAGACTTGGGCTTAACACCCATCAACGTTTACTTAGCTAACCCGTTTTTTCCAGCTGTATTCTCTCCTGCAGTATCTAAACAGCTGGGCAGGGCTGTCTGCTGAACTACATCAAACCAGACTGGCGTACTCTTGCGAAAGAAACTTTAATCCTTTCATCATGAAAACCCAAAACAAAAAAATCCCTTTAGCACTGAACACAACATGTGCTGCAAATTGTAACCTATAAACAACATACTGTACTGCAGGAAAATTAAAAATACGATCAGGCAGATTGTGCAGGATCTCGAATTTTAATGTTACTAGGCATTACATGGCATTTATTATACAGAGTGAACTTTATTTTCCAGTTTATGCTTTGCAATTTATTTTAAATGATCATGTGGCTAGACAGCGGGTTAGTGTGCTGTGTATTGAGGAGGCAGGGTTAAAGGTTAAGGGTTAAAGGCATCAGGTTACCTGTCTACTGGGGAGGAAAAGCCACTTATTGGTCCGGACTGACCTCGCTCCAAATCCTGAGACACAGCAATGCTCTAGGGAGAAAAAAGCAGCAGACAGACATAAGTGTGGTTTACATCTGGAAAAGAAAATGAGTAAATAAAAAAATCAACCGATGTCTTGGGTACAGCATCAGATACAGAACATGCAGGAGGACAGTACAGCTGGCCTACTGAACAATGAAGGACCGTTACAATGTAAGATTGTGCATAAATGTATAGGTTCTTCCCAGCTACAGGTATTTCAGAAGTGACATAATACCCCCTGGAATCCCGATAATATAAAACTCTGATGTGGAAGAGGAGCCGGTCTTTTGTCCTGGTGGAGTTTTCTGCTGTCTGAGCTCAGAGCCTCTGGGTAACTGGGCTAGAACCCGCCATTGGATCGGGAGAGCTACTCCCGACACACGTGTGCATCTCAGCACAGCAACACTTGTGCTGACAAAACCACTGCTTCTGCGGAGAAGACAACTGTGGAGCGCAAAAACAAAAGAGTCCAAGACGCCAGATTCTCTTCCTCGTATTTTCTGTTCTCTTCAAAGGACAGCAAAAGAGGTCAGGGAAATAACACTGCTGCAGGCACCGTCTCAGAGAGATAGTGATAGATAATGAGCCCCAGCCAGATACAGGAGACGTATTAAAGCTGAAACACGACAGACTCCCTGGCGAACACAGCTGTTCGCACTGCCAGCGCACTAGGGAGAGTAGCTCCACTGGCTGTTAGCGCTGCCTGATCCTTACTCACTCCATTGTCTTCATCCTTTCACTTCCCTGCACACATCCAGCTTGATTCCTGCAACTGACTCTTCGGAAGACGAAACGTGAATGGAATGAGGACACTAGAATGGTTCTAATCCAGTCTCTACCTCTCCTCGTGAAAGAAGCCAGGGTATCGGTTTCAACAACTCCCACAACCCTTTGGGTAGAGGCATGCATCCCGTTCTCATTGTTTCACGCAGTTTCCACTTCTGCCCTCTGTTTCATGTTCATTCATGTTCATTCTAAAGGAACCTGCTAGGTTGACTTTGTCAATGCGTTTGGGGATTTTGAATAGTCTTCTCTGTAGAAATATAGAATGTTCTACGTAATGCATTGTTCCTAAAGCATACAAACGTATCACCATACCAAAACAGTTGTCTTGAGGCCACTAGGAAGACACTGAGCACTGAAGCCTGTGTTACACTGACTTATTCCTCCATTTTGTTTTCCTGTACGCAGGCTTCAAGCAGGAACATTCGAGAAGTCACCTTTATTCTTTTAAAAAGCATGCACAGCAGTTATGGAGAACAGCTTTCTTATGACATCTCTAAAACGACAAGTGTGCATGGCTGTCAAGCTATCCCTGCACTGCCTCTCGTGCTTGCTTTCTCACACGTCCCGGCCTGCTTTCATCGGGGCGCAGCTTTGAAGACCCATTTGAAAAGCGGCCAACGTCAGTGGTACACAAACCCACGCTCCGCACGGCTTGTTTTAAAAGTGCGGCAACGATCAGCAACCTGTCTCGAGAAACGTTAACTTATTTGGTAAAAAAAAAAGGAAAGCTAAAAATAAAACACAGGGACTCAGAGAAATGACCGTCCTTGTTTTCAGAGCCCAGTCACACGGCGGTAAGGAGGTGTCCCTCTGCGGCGATGTCGACGGAACGCTCTGCGGGCTGAGCCAAGAGGAAAGGCTGCTCACCGAGGGGAATCGGAGGGCAGGGACGGGGGACATTTCGGTGGGGAAGCAGCCCACGGACACCTGACTGGGCGGCTGTGCGGGCCTCTCCTGGGGGTCCTGGAAGCCCGAGGAACTGAGGTACCCGTCCGTCTCGCAGTCGGCTGCCAAAACAACACGGAAACACGGGCAGGCGTTGGCAGGCAGTGTGGACAGACGGCCTCGGTGGAAACACGAGCCCCCAGGGCGCGGAGGGGCCAAGAACGACAAGAACGAGCCCAGCTACGGCTGATTTCCACAGCTTGGACCCCAACCAGGAACACACAACACCACCGGACTGCTCCAGCATCCTGCGCTCCTGGTTGGTCTCGCTCTGGCTGGCAATCATTTCTGCTCTTTACTACTGTCATGCAGAACCATGCCGCATTGAAAACCACTCCCCGTTCTGAATGAGCTTGCTTAAATTTGTAAATGAACAACTAGTCACCTTCGCCTCCTCTGTTGTTAAAGCCTTTGTTAAGCCACAGCCGATCAATTGGGTAATTTACTTAAAGAAGACACTGACAGCACACAGATGAGATAAGAACCAGTAACAGCCTAAGGCCCAGTCACTCAGGAGTCACTCATGCTGATAAATCAGGTACCTCCAGACCTCAGTACCTATTTATTCATCTGACTGTTTTTCTTCTGAAGTCTTGGAGAATTAAATCATTAAAGAAAACTGGAAAGCCTGCTGGATGGTGAATCTGATTGCCTATCATGGGTATAGCCACTCTCCCACGATCCCTGAGTCTTTTCGTGACTGCTGGATTAAATCATGGCAGTGCTTATTTTAAAATGCAAAGGCAACATCTGCGGTCTCTCACATGTGGCAGAGGAATAGCTGGTGTGGCGAATGTGGTAGTGCTGGTGCTGGTCGGCCTCTGGCTCCTCGGGCTCTGGGGGGCAGCTGGCGTTGATGCCAGAGTCGGCCGAACTGGTGGCAGGGGAGGGGAGGGAGCTGGAGGGGGTGAGAGGGGGCGGGGTGCACGGGATAGCCCCTCCCCCCGCCAGGGCGGAGCTTTCTGAGGGCTGGCCATTCAGCTTCAGGAGCACCTGCTCTTGCTCCGCCCCTTCCTCTTCCTCCCCCCCTCCTTCCTGCTTCCTCCTCCTCTTCAGTTCCTCGGCCAGTCGCCGCTGTTTCTCCCGCTGTCTCTTGATGGCCGTCACCCGGTCCCGAATGGCTTTGGCCACTATTTTGTAGTCGGCTTCACACACAAAACCGAGCACCACCTGCCCAAACACGGGAGACACCGTCAGTGAAGGACTCTCCACAGTGGAGCCCAAAGTCTATCCAGCAAAGGGCATTTTTACACCTTCCTCACACATATACTGTCCCCACTTATTATTATTAATAGGATTATTATTACACTTATTACCTATTATTAATGTCTTGCATTCCTATGAATTCAGCGCTGTCATTAAATCTGTACCAAGTTCTTGTTTTTATTTTTTTTTAAAAGGTGAATTGTGGGAACAAAGGGGCTTTTCCAAATTAGAACAAGAATTACGACATGAGTTCTAGGAATGGCAAGTAAGAAGGTGGAAAAAAAATGTTCTCATTAAATCAAAAATGACTTCTGACTTTCGACAGCAGAGGCCAGTTTTATAATGGGTTTCTGCACCATTATATTATTAAACGCATGACCTTCCTTCTCTTTAAACCCTGAGCAATGTGCTAGAATTTCCCTCGTGACCACTGTGCACTGCAGAGGTATGGTGACGTCTTGTATTAGCTGATCCATCTCAGATCACAGGCTAAATATAGGCCACACCTACATGTAGCTGCTCTGAAAAGACACAGAGGCCTGTGTTCACTGCACACCAGCCACTTCATGCTCACATTGCTCTTTTAAATAAGTTTACTGTGGTATATTACACTATCCCTATAAACTCCACAGTGTCCCAGAGAACCATATCACAATTAAACAATATTAAAACCCGATGTACTGTATAGTCACATTGTCGACTGTGATGTTTTGACACTCTGCTACCCTTTTTTTTACAAATCTTTCAATGTCTTAGAATAGATTAAAATATTATCATAGAACTGTAGGAAGCATAAAGTGACAAGTGTCACGGAAAACTGTAAGGAAACAGTAAGAAGAGCAGGGAAGAAAATGTGCTATATTGTATGTGTGTTAAAACCATCAAAGCTGTAAGAATACAGCGCAAATAAAACACTGTGAACTAAGAGTCTGTGGTGTTGTACTGTTTGACTGCGTCTAGCTTCGAATACTCCAAACACAAGAGTCTAGAAATACACGAAGAGTCAAAATAAAGAGCTGGAGAGTTAATAAAGCTGTTTTATAGCCGTTGCCAATGTCAGCTCTCTTGTAATGGGTCGACTGTGGTAAGGGCTTGAGGTGGGGTTTATTTGCACCCTATGGGATTCACATTTTTGTGGCTTAATCTGAACTTTATTAGAGCTCATAAAACAAATCCCTTTCAAAAACAGGGGAGAAGAAGATTTCATAACTGCTCTCCCTTCATGTGCCTTTTACCAACAGCAGTTGCATCATAAATGAGCTTTTATATCAGATGCAATCCCTACAATCCCCACTGTGTCCCACCGAAGCCATTTCTTTCCAGGGGGAGGTGGATTAATATAATCGGACAACATCTTGGGCGCAGAGGAGATTGGGAAAAAAAGGCTGAGGTCTCTTAACGCAGTTAAGGGGGTCCGCTGTTTTTTAGGGGTCAAATACTTGCATTTCAGGGGGACTAGAAACAAACCAATGAATCAAGACTTTAAATAAAAAATCCCATTTGCCCATTAAATTCGTGTTAAAGCTTGTATTTGTTCTTAACTTTAAAAATGGGCTTTCAGGACGGTTTGGTAGAAATGTTATATGTGAAATGTAAAAAAAAATAATGAATTTCTTCTGATCAGCAAGAGCAGAAAACGGTGCAATGTAAGAAAAATCACTTCAGTGGGACAAAACAAGTCCCCACGAAGAGACACAGGGGTTGGCCTACAGTAGGAACTTCCTCCTTCAGCTTTCCTGGCCATTTCCTGGTGTTCCTTACCATCTCCTGCGCCACCTCCTCCGGCACGTCCTTGTACAGCTCAAACAGGAACTCGATAGCGTTGTTGTCCTTGTATTTGCCGTGCAGCTTCTTGGTGTCGTCCATGCGCAGCCAGAGCTTCAGGCCCGACTTGACGTAGTCGTCCTCCTCGGCCAGCTCCACGTGCACGCCATTGTTCTCCTGGAAGAAGGTGTGGTCCAGCAGGTCCTGGATGGTGTACCTGCCGCGGTTGGGGGGAGCCGGAGAGCACTTAGAGTCTGCTGGAGCACAGAGGGGTTTCTTTGTGACGCTCTGTAATGCTGCACAAATATCTGCAGGGTGCTTGACGCTTAAGCGAACTGTCCCACACATTGTGGAGAAAAGATATGGGGCTAACACACACATAAGACAATGGGCAAATTTCTCCTGGAGAATGACAGCAAGCTCCACACCAGAGGACCCTCATCATGGCCTCTCTCGGTGTGGCCATCATCGTCCGTGTCCTTGCAGGGCTGCATGCCTGGAAGACCATGGGACAGTGCTGCATGGAACTGCCCAGAGACCATCGCTGCTGCCCTGAGGAAGATGGTTGTGTGTGTACAGAATTTTATTTGAGGTCCAAGTGGGGCAGGTGTGTCAGCTGCAAATGAGCAGGCAAAGAAAGAATAAAAAAACATAACAACTGTGGAGTGCTCTTCAAGCGTGTGTCTGTGCTCTATCATGTTCACGTTGTGTGTGTCTCACACATTTTGTTCCTTACCAAATTTCATTGCTCAGCATTGCACAGTTTTTTTCACCTTTGGAATAGGTCACCTGCCTTTTTATTCACTAATTATAGACAACAAAGGAACAGGTGAAGGTTCATTCCGTGCTGAAAGGTAATGAAAAGAAACACGACATTTCAGCTGTGGAGCCTTCTTCAGGTGTGTTTATTGTGTTTTCTTTACCTTTCAGCACGGAATGAACCTTTACCTATTCCTTTGCTGCCTGCGCAGGCTGAAGCAGTTCCCTACTCGAGCCTCACTAATTATAGACATTGTACATAAATGCCTTCGTGGAAAAACTAAAAGAATACCATATGAGACAGGGGTCTAATGAGACATCTCACAAGACAGAAGCGGTTGCATCATATTCTGGGTTTCACTGCACCCTACTGTAGATCTATGGCTTAATTAACTGGATAATGGACAAAGCACCTTTCTCCAGGTCCCAAAACATGTTGTGCGTACTGCCCCTTCACTCAAAAGTGTATCTTTTAAACCTGTACCTCTATCCTTTCTTATAAAATCCTCCATACGTCCTGTTGAGAAAAGATCAATCACGTTAATGAAGGCTGGAGAGGACTGTAGCTTGAGTGTGTTATCGCTCAGGGACAGGACTACGGAAGCAAACATCAAACAGGAATAATCCTGCCGAGGATTTTAAAACATCCAGTCAGATAATCCCTCCGGGCGAGGGAGGGAAAGATGGCTTTTGTGCTCAGCAGGCAGGTGGATGCTGCTTTGTTTTGCAAAGACTGCGCATTTGCGAACGAACAAATCGAGCCCGCAGTCCGATCACTCTGCGATCAGAACATCAGCGGAAGACAAAAGCAACCAAAAACGCTCCGATATTTTGTCCTAATAAAATGAAATGGGACAGACACAGATTCCACAGAACTCCTCTGGCCCAGGTCTTTACATGAGAAAACCGGCCTACAAAGGGCCCCAGAGTGAACAGTTTGCTCATAGCTTCCCCACATAAAAAATAGATACAATACCTCTGAACGCAGTTGCATAAAGTGTCGTAACACCTGAACAGTCAATAAACTATATGATTCTTATCCTTCCTCCTGTCATTAGAAATCCCTTGTAATTAAGATAATTGACAGAAGTGGAATAATTGTCTATACACTGAGGACATATTTAGACCTGTTTTTATTGTTTTGTTTCCCTGGTATAACAAGCTTAACAAGTACAGTTAGTTTTCTTTACAATGATTCCCAGGATCTCTGCCATCTTTACTCACACAGATTAACCCTCCAGCCTGGTTTCTCAGCGATTTCTGACTGTTAGGCTATAAGCTTGGCATCTGTTAATATTTCGAGGTGTGTTGTGGAAGCTCAGAGCAGTGAAAACGGCACGGTTACCTTTCATCTTTATTCATGCGAATGCAGCCCTCAATGATCTCTTTCAGCTCGGGGACTTTCACTTTGAAAAAGCTATCAGGCTTCATTCCCTGTGGAAGACAGCATCACAGAAACTCTTTTTACAAGGCTGGGCTACTGACAAGTCCACTGAAATGCACAACGCAGAACCCTTTCGAAGTAATCGAGTGGCACGTACTGCCCTCTCACATCTCACGACGTATGCCCCTATATTTTCTGTCATCAGCAGCCAGTGCTGCTTCTCAAATCGGACACCTCAGTCCAAAGCATTACTGATGAGTTATATTAACATTAGTTTGTCATTGCTTTTTTTTATTTTCACATGTTTCAAAACCCATTATTCCTATCCTAGCCATACAAAACCATTCCATCACAACCAATGGCACCACGTCCTAACAGAAAGGTGCTTCAGTACTGCCCCCTGTGGGACCAGGCTGAGTTTCTGTTCCACATGCTCCACAGCTCAACCACACTGCTCTACCAGGAGACACTGTATTCTACACATGGAGGAATGAATGGGTTAATAATGGGGGCTGTGGGGTGTAAAGGAGAGGAAAACCTCTGTCAATTCATCCACACTGCAGGGCTCCAGTCTCCCCTGCCTCACCACACAGGGCGAGGTCTGAAGAACAGCCCAAGCAGCGATCTCTAACCCGGTAAGCTGGTTTAGCGGTATGGGATGGGGAAATCGGATTAGAGGACAGCACTGACTGCCACTTGTCCTGCCTGTTGAATGTTATAGTGGCTCAAAGGAAATGGCCAAACACCGAGCACTTATGCACGTAAGGAGGATATGCAATACTGAAATCACCAGTGCGCGGTGCTTGGAATCGTCTTTCAGATTACAGTAAATACGGAGTATGGAAAGTACAACAGCTGTAACAGAAGATACTGTATTACTTAACTGTGGGTTAAATATTCAGTCCCATTTACAAACCACATGAGACGCATTTTAGTTATAGAGTCATATCACTGCACTCAGTCTCGGTAGAAATAATATGCACGCATGCTTTCCAGAACTACAGTATGCATGCATGGAGAGGGTAAGGAGAAATGACATGGAATTTAAAAAAAGTTATAAATGACTGCACAAATTAGTTGAAGGATATAAGATATTGGTTAACATACCGGAAGCTTTCTTTGACAGTCAAGCAGGGCCTGATGCAGATGCTCGCCCAGACAGCTGGTATTTGTGCCACAGACGTGGCTGTGTTGTGGGAAGGTAACGTAATTCTATTATTTAATCTAAGTTAAAATGACACCCGAGGAAGGCTGCACAGCCGAAACGTTGTGTCTCTTTTCCTTTTCAGCTCGGAATAAACCTTTACCTGCTCCTTCCTAACTCTACTATGTTTAGGGTTGCTCACTTTAATACGGTGGTGCTCATTTTGCAAATGTTTTCAACACATCAAATGCTTGCTTACAGTGTACAGGAACACGCACATCACTGGCAGGGTGATGGTGGCTTGATCTGTGCTAGTGTCATGTTCTGCTCAGTTATGTTGTGCAGACACACTCTGCCATCGTCACAGGGCATGTTGATAGCATAAACATTTCCCTTTCGAGAAACCTGTAACCCTTCACTTACAGCACACAGGCTGAAAATAACCACTGGCATCCCCTAGCAGTCAGCACGATACCGGGGCACCTACTGAGGCTATGGACTGGGAATGTGGGAGAGGGAGAGAGACTGGGAAGGAGGAGCATTCCTGACCAGAGCTTAGTGAGAGCCACACTAAGTCACAGCTACTCAGACAAGCCACTTGGAGTCGCGTCCCTGCCTATCACAGGGGTGCTCTGTATTCCAGTTTTTTGTTACACTGTAGTTCTCACCTCTTTAAAGACCTTCAACTGTAAAATTAATCTTTGCCTCTCTCTCTCGGATACTGTGAGCACTTTCAGCTGCACTTTCAGCTTTTTCGACACGCAGTTAGCTTTGCATTTGAAACAGCTGACTCTCGGTCCTCTCAGTGAAGGTGTCATGTAATCTAGGTAACATCAATGCCGCCAGGAAAAGTATGTGCTAAAAGTTGGCACGTATAGCACCGTTCCGAGCCTTTGCTCACTTTTATTAAAAATCACTTCAAGCACTTTTGTAATGAACCAACAATAACCTTTCTTGAAGATCTTTTAACAAGTAACAGGGAAACAATCTAAATAAGAAAAACTAAGCGATCTTACTCTCAAACAGACATGGCTGAGTTTATACTGTGCATGAAACCTGCAATCTGGAAATTGTATTTAACTGAATATCTAAAGACTCTCAACAGCATACTGTACGTTGACCTGACTGGTGGCTTCTCTCTTTTGAGCCAGGAGATCTTTCACGACTTTTGAGCAACTTTTCTTGTTCTTTCCCAGCATTGTTAAAAGATGTCCTTTTCTGACACGACATTGTCTTAACAGAAATGCAGCAGGTTTGACTGGAAAACAGAACGGATTCCTGATTGGGTGGGAGAAGAAGATGATTCCAAATAAAACTTGTGTAAATCTTTCTGCATGATTACTTTAGCTTTGGAATCACCTTCCTCAGCTGTGAAGTGTTTTTCCAATACAGCATTTAAAGAAACAGTGATATACAGAAACAGAAATGTGCACTTAGAGATTTGCAGTTGTAGATTAGACATATTCTTCTGCTTTTATTTAGCTTGGACTGCACATCCCTAATGAAACCCTTGGCTTTATCATGAAAGTATTAAAGATTCACTTTCAAGCACTTTCACACATTAAGTTCAAAGCCCAGAAGCCTTTGTACTGTACAGTATGTGCGTATCTGTAAACCTCGGGATGGAAATGAGAGAAACTGATTTAATTACAAAAGCTGCACAACAAGCCCTAAACGAAACAGTGACCTTCCAGGCAAAGTGCAGAAGTTAATAAAACTAAAGTAGTTTAAATCCTACTTGGATCAGAGAAATTGGATTATGGCTACCTTCTATAAAGCCAGTTTTTAGTGATAGCAGCCTCCATGAGACATTCGTAAAGAACAGACAGCAAAATGCTAAAATGCCCATTGTATGTGATTTCAAAGACATTTTTGCCATTTTAAGTTTCATGCTGAAGAGGGTTTGCTGTTGATAATCAGGACAAGAAAAGAAAATGGTCTTGTAAGCCAATTCATGACTGGTTGAATCCAGACTAGTCACAGTAACCAGCTGTATAGAATGAGTAAAAGCAACAGTGTATCCTGTACAGCCCAAAATGTATGATGGAGGCACTGTCAGAGAAGACTACCATCATCCTCGGTTTACCACCTGAGTTTGCGAGTCCTAACTCTGCACTCCGCACGGTGCCGGACGAAACAAACCGCCTGTCAGGGACCGTTTGACAGCTTATTAGAGGAATCGGCATCAGTGCCTACAGTGTGAAGGTGTGTCGCACTCCCGCCTAATAGACCTCACTGAGCGAGAAACTGCTTTGTGCTGCTGGATCCTCATCAATCACAGCCCACGCCGCCGGTTGCCAAGATCGAGAAACGGAGGAAAAACAACGGTCAAGTCACTAGCAATAACGGAGAGAAACAACCCCCCCAGAACACATCTAAATTGAAATCTGTGGCTGTACGCTGCCATTTACCTCTGGCACAGCACCAGTGACGTTGGCGGCGAGGTGTGGGAAATCTTGACTGGAGCAAAGTGAAACCATGCGATTGATAAACCTCCCCCAGCAGCGCCGTGTGATTTTGGTGCTTTATCTGAGCCTTAAAAAATCAACACACAATCTTGTGTGGAGAAGCTCTCTCTAAGCTCTATAAACCGGGCACAAAGGAGATTCCCTACTGGGCGTCTGTGTGGGACCCAGGGAGAACAGCAGCCTTCTGTGACCTTGCCGACGAGGAGCCCCTCATTGTTCATACAGTGAAGGCATCGTTCGCTCCTTGCAGGATTAACGATTCTCTTTAATTAGATGCTTTCACCATAAAAAAAAAAACGAAATAAAAATCCCAGCCGCAAAGGCAGAGAGAGAGACAAGGAGGGAAAGCTCCGTCTGCCAAGATGACAAGATGACCTTGAGGTTCTTTCAGGCGATAAAAGTGAATGACAGGGACAGGAGATTTAGCCAGACAGTTGGGAACACTAATATTTTTATTAAGCAATGGGATTTTAACAGAGGCTACATTCAATGTTAAGGTGCTTTCTTAATAACAAATTAAGCATTTTCATTAAGACTTAATTGACAGCTTTTATATTTCCTGATGACTAAAATGGCATTGTCATTTGAACACTGGCACTTTGTATAAAAAGTACAGCTGCAAATCAAAACATTCTGTCTTAAGGAGGAACTATCTGAGAGCAGACTGATACAATATTACTTTAGCCAGACACTTGCTATTCATTAGCCTGGGTCATACACACAGTGAGAATAACAATTCTACAGGATACAACCATGTAATTGCAGGACTGGAGAGAGCAATGAGCAGGGAAAAACAGAGTGGATTACTTTCGCACTAAGGAAAATAGTGAGGTGGATTTTCTCTAAGGGTAAAAATCAAGAATATCTATAATTGCCTGCATTTATTTGCGATACTGATGCGCATTCTCTAAACACAGCTCCCATCCGGGTGATATACAGTACAGCAGCTTCCATAATGCAGCAGGACCCCCGCTGCACACCAGATTAGGTGGAGAAATGAGAAATTACTTCACCAATTGAATTAAGAGGAAAGCCTGATCCAGAGGGAACAGCGCCACATACTGGTACACAAATACCACCTACAGCAGACACCTGGTTTTCCTTAGAGGTTTCCCACCCCACTACGGACCAGGCCCAGTCTTGCTCAGCTCCTGAGCTTCAATGAAATCAGGCTACAGGCTGGAATCGCTGCTGTCAAGCCCTTTTGCAATTTGCAATCAGGATGGTTTTTGGATTGAGCTGGAGGAAGACAGTCATAGACAGAAGATCGCCAACGTATCTCGCACTTGTTTGATCCCATGCTGCATGATGATGATCCATTGTTTTTACTCCTTAATTGGTTCTTAATGGTTTAATGGCGTTTTACAAATACTTTTGAGAGTTATTTTTTTGTACAGGCAGCTATTAGCATAATGACATGCTTCTCAGTAAAATAAGA